GACTGGAAACAAATGACAGAAATTTATCTGTATTACTTTTTTTTTCGGAAGCCCTTGTCCTGTCAGTGTAGAGGTCAGGACAGCAAAAATAGAGAGTTAGGTTGTGTAAACAAAAACACAAAACAAACAGATCAGAGCACTCTGGATCTAATCCATCTCACTGAATTTTGATTTAGCAGCATGAAAAGGGAGGAACCTCTTTGATTCCTGCTTCTGGCTCGGAGACAGCAACTATCAAAGAAACAGTTTCCTTTGGATTCTGTAAAGACTAAACTGATATGCAAAACACTGCAATGTGATAAACAAGGAACCCCACAACCACTTCTTAATCACTTGGCAAAATAAAGATGTCAGATGGCATCTCTGTTTCACCTTTCAGCTCTCTTCCCTTCACTCAGCTGCACTTAGACCTGGGTTCCCTGTGTTATATAAGATCATTAACTTGCCTTTCCATCCTTCTAACATGCACACACAGACATTTTATCATACTTTTCAATAACAAGTTCCTCTCAGTGAGTACTGAGAGCTGATGTAAAAGACACTTTCCAAAAGGACATCAACAACATATTTGAATGCAGCTTGGGAGAGTGTTCCCACCTCTTCTCTAACATGCTCATGGCTCTTCTACCCTCCTTGTCATTTTATATCATTTATTTCTCCACTTACACAAACCAAACATGTTTGCCAGTTTATCCTCTCAGACAGTTATTGAATTTCAGATTTGGGAGATCAAAACCGAGTAGTTTTAAGATGCTCGTTTTTCAAAAGTGAACAACATCATCACTCATGGTCTGAACTATGGTAACCTCACAGTACACTAAACTTACCTGGGGTTTTTTCACTATCAGTCATAAATTTCTGTCCCTGTTTTCCCCTATGCACACACTAAACAAAACTTGAATAATTTCTATGTCAAAAACACCTTCCACCAGTATCATTTCAATGTATACAGACACATCATCATTGCTCCATATGCTGTCCATGACTAATCTGTTTTTCCTTCATCAACTACTCATGATGATCAGGAAGCACATTAAGAGTTTTCCTGAACAATATTAATTAAAGACTTCTAACTCTCTGTAACAGTTGTTGTTTATGGTATTTCTCTAATTTACATGATTCCTGAGAATTACTTACGAGTTACTTAAAGGATGTAAAGCCTGTCAACTTCTCTATAATGCATTTCAATGCCAATGTTAAATAATTGAAAAATTTTCAACCTAGTTTAAAAGTAATGTTTCCATATATCTACATAGGTGTTTGCTAAAGAGTTAACTCAGGCCATAGCATTCTCGTTACCTTTGGGAAACTTCCTGCTATTTGGATGCTTGATGCATCCTGCTATTTGGGATGCTTAATCATCTTCTAATCTTATCTGTTTAGCTAAATCCTTTTCTACCTCGCTGGAGGATGTGCTACACTGAAAAGAACTACAATGTATATTTTCCCACCTGCCTCTATCTTATACTCTGCCAGTTTATCATATATTTAGAATCTGTTAGGATACACTGACCACTGAAACGACCTGACTGTACAAATATTACAGATCTGACACCTCATCTCAACTCTTTTAGCATGACTAGGTACAGTATGTAATATAAGGAAACACAGGAAATAAGGTGGGGTTGTGTGATGGTTCGGACTTGGCTCCCTGCCAAATGCCCAACCCCCCCAGTAGCAGCCCCTCTCTTCCCCCCTTTCTACTTCCCCCAGGGTAAAGGAAAAAAACTATGCAA